GAGGTGCGAGTGAAAGGTGAGAGAGGATGTTAAAAAGTTGTAATAACGAAAGAATGTGAAATATAGCAAAAGAGAGGGGTGGCGGGAGTCAGTGGTGGGGGGAGGAGGAGGGGCGAGTGGAGAAGGTTCGTTGGGCCAAAGATGGTGGAGGTGCGAGTGAAAGGTGAGAGAGGATGTTGGAAAGTTTAAAAATGCGGACAGAGAAGAAGGAGAAGGAGAAGAAGGAGACGTTTCTTAATTTTTCATTAAAATCACCACTTTTCGACCGCTTATATCTCCAGAACGGCTTGACCGATTTAAAATTTTTTTGGCTCAAATTACTCGTGGCGATGCCGCCTTTCAGGATATATAACGTTCGATTCAAAATTTTTTATATTTTAGTAATTATGCACCTCCCAAAAATGGACTTTGGTGGCTCGGGATAAGAGACTTGTAGCGTCTCACAGTTTTTGAACATGACCGGAGACGCTACCGCGTCTCCTGAAATTCGATGTTTTCTGCACTCTCTTTCCCCTTTATAATTTCTAACCTGTACCGGATTACAGTATCATATCATGATACAATCAAAATTATGATAATCAAAATAAGATGCTGCGTTTGCGCAAATTCTGCTTAAGAGCCCAGACATAAGCTTTTGCATAACGCATAACGCATAGTGCATATTAAGAGAATCGGCCAATCAAAGTTTTTCTTTTCCGTGAAGTGGAAGGAAAGGAGGGATTCAGATTGGTTGTTTCTCTTATGCACTATGTATTATGCGTTATGCAAAAGTCTGTGCTCCCTGCTTAATTTTAACTAATCCCCAATGCGACACCAAACATACCACGTGACCATAGTTCCCTCCCCGCTAAATAGCTTCACCCCCCCCCCCCCATCCGTCCCTATGTCCATGATGAGATACAACTCTTAGGCCTGATTGCACCAACGTGATTTCGATTTTAAGCGATACTTAAACTGTCTCTGTCTCTGTCTCCCTTTCGGCTTTTGTTAAGAAATGAGCAATTTATACTTTATTTTTATGTTAAGATTTCCATTCTCGTTATTCAATCTTTCATGCTTATGGTTGGCACTTAAAATGTTACTAGAAAGTTGCTTCCCCGTTTTTCGTATGTGTTCTGTTCTGCGCGCGACACTACCTTCTACTTCCGTTGACGAACTTTTGTATCAGCTAACCGAATAAATATCCACGCTTTGTATTTTACAAGAAGTCTGTCTGTTCCTTCTCCGAGAAACCTCTCTGCGTATATCTCAACA